GTGTTATACAACGCCATTAATAGCCAGTGTAATTTAATTTAACCATTTTATGTTGGTAGTCTATATCACTACCTTTAAAATTCTAATTCTAATTCAAACAGAACAGCCTATTGTCAACATAATTATGGAGTGTGATTTATTTTCAACTTGAAATATCTTCTAACTAATGAAATATAAGGTTATTAATGAAGAAAACCCATCTGGATAACAGCAGACTGACTGCTCGTAAAATATACGACAGGTCTGGACCACTCGTAAATTTTGTTTGTATCTGAAAAAAATCTTAGAATACGAAAACATTGGTGAATGCCACAAATTCTCCTAAATCACTCGTACGCACAACATAAGAATAAATCTGTGCGTACGAACGGTTCTTGCATGAGGCCCATTGTCTTTCATATATTTTATGTAATTTTTATTTAATCTTGACAGTGTGCAATAAAAACGAAGACATTTGATGCATTGCACCAGATTTAACCTCAGGTTAATTTCCTTCTGTAGGTTTTAGTAATTACTTTCTGTTAATCTAAACTTTACACTCATGTCACAAATATGGTTTTCTGTTTTTGCCCACTTGCATATTACTTAAAGACAACAGCTTGTCTGTCCTGCTGCTGTGCAGTGAAAGTGAAACCCTGAGTCCTGCACTGCGAGTCACTGCGTCCTGCTGCATCTTCTTTTTTATTAGCTGTAAAAGTCATTGATGCATTTCTTAAATTGCACTCTCTGAGTTTTATTCCATCTTTTCACCTGAAGCATAAAATAAATATCTACATTGAAGCAATCCATTGAGAACATGTTAAGGTAATGAACTGGCTTACACAAAAAGCTATCAAAGAAATAGTCTGGAAAGGGAGCCAGTAAACTCTATTCTTCATAGTTATAAGCACTGTTTGGGATTCGTTTAATGGTCCAAGGCAGTAAGAGGGTTTGAAGTACTGCAGATACGATGAGATGGGGCGCCACGTTTTCCAAACTCTCCAAGGAGAACAATGTAAACGATTTATCATTTGATGGTCATGAGTTTTCTATAGCATGTGCTTTGACAAACCATAAAAGCATAAAACACATCCAGATAAAAATTAGGTCGAGAAAATAGTCCATAAATAGCAACCAAGGATAAACAGGTTAATATCTGTACCAACATTTAAAAAAAGAAGAATTTATTGTTTCCACAATCTGCCACAAATAATGCTTACAGTTTTTCTCTTTTCTCTCCACAAGAAGGAGTCATTTAGATACAATTTCAAAGACTTCCTTCGTACAAAGTACTATGATTCATAATAGATGTGTCAAAGTTATAAGGGACCTTGTGCCATGCTGTCACCTGCTAGAGTCAGAGGTAACAAATTGCTCTCATTACACCTGGGATGGAGCTCCACATATAGCACTATTAGTGCACTATTTCTGCTAATGCTTGTGTTACACTCTTCCAGATAGATCAATTACAGTGCGTCGGACATAGTCTCAACCACCTCTTAAATCAATTATAGTCTGGACCAGTTAGGAGATGAGAAAGTAGGAGGCTACTCTCTGATGATGGGATGTCATAAACTAGCCTTTTTTGTGCGTTATGATAAAAACAAAAACATGTTACAGATGTCAGATATTTTAGTCAAAACAAATAAAGTTTTATTATTTTTGTGCATGAACATCATTTTTCATTAGCTTCTATTGACTCTAATGGGAAACTCTGATAATTGTGGTACTTATTTCATACAAAGCATAAAAAAAGAAACTAAATTAATTGTCAGCAGGATGTTTTCCTGTTTCCAAAATGCGCTCGCATGAGTTTTCAGGGCGGTCGGCAGGCAGCTTGATTCGAGCATCTCTCACTTTTCACTTGATTTAACACTTTTCAATGATTCAAACAGATTTGTTTGATTAATTGTGTTGTATTATGATTAAGAGTCAAAACACTGAAAAATCCATAAACGCTAATATACAGTATATCACTAGACTGAGCCACGGTCATCCCGTCCACTGGTAGCGTCTGTAACAGCATGGAGGAGCAGAAACAGACCAAACAGGCCAACAGCTCACAGCCTCCATAGAAACTAATTGACAAACAGCAGCTGAACTGGATCTGTTTCACAGATTATCGGTAATTTTTTTTTTACAATAAATGAATAATTATGTTAATTTCATTCAACAATCATGTAAAACAGCAGATATACTGTATACCAGAAAAAATATATAATTTATAAGTAACAATGATCTAAACCAGACCTGAAGTCAGCCTGTAACTTAGACTTTAGCTTGTTGAAAAATGATGACTTCAGCAAGTAATAAAGTATATTTATTATTTCTTCTTACTGTCATAAAAAACAAGATTATTTATATTTACCAGTCAACAGTTAGAAAATGTTCTCTCGTTATAGGATGAAACTTGTCTCTCTTAGCTAACATCTTCTTAACAAGTCAGGTTCCTCTAACAGAAACCTAAAAATACTCACATTTATAATATTGTTGGAAAAATATGCATTGTTCCAAATGGTATGTCCAAATAAACAGGATTCAGCTAGATTTCTTCTTTAAAACTTTATTTTCAATCTTCTGACTCTAATCAGGTACATTCAGCGCTCAGCAGCACAGGCCTCAGTAAGACCTTCGGCTGAGTCAGAACAAASAGGGGAGCTCTGCTCTGAGCAGACACTCTGCAAAAACACTGACAACTCCTTTTGTACTATAATAATGAATTGAGCTTATAATGTATGTTTCTTCCTGGTTACACCCCAGGAGGTGTTACCTTTTATGTCAGATGTCAGAACGTCCTCATTTTGTTTAGGCTAAGAGAAAGAACACATGGTAACACACACACCAACTCTTTGTCTGTTTTAACCTCACAGACTGAAATGATCAGAAAGTATAAAAAACAAAACTGAATCTAATATTCAATTAATCAGTTACAAAACTTCTTCAATATTATTTTACACTGTGTAGGTCTAAATATTAATCAGAGACATTTATAATATTATTTTACACTCTGTATGTCTAAATATTAATCAGAGGACAAAGTAATATTTAATAGTTTGTGTTAAATTGTAGCATGATTCAACAGTGCTACAATTACCAATTACAATAACCAGTTCAATAAATAACAGTGATTACATCGACTTTATAAGATTATTTTTAAACACATTATGTTCTGCTCAGATCACATTGAGCTAAATAAGATCARATCTGCTGACTTGTGTTTTAAAATGAGATGTTTTCCTGTTTATCTTCTGTTAATAAATCCATAACACAAACAGCTTTTCTGACATTATTTAAAACATTAGATAGATTATATAAACTGTAAAATATTAATAATGATTGGATTAATATTAATAATAGTTTTTATGATTTCTACATCGTCAGTTATTTTTTTCTGCTCTGTTGTCAACATGTATAGTAATGGGAAATCCAGAGTCTTGACCGTTTTGTTAGCCGTTAGCTTCTCCAGCCGATAACACGGTCAGCTGGTTTCTGCGCACTCCAGCTGTTCTATATAAACTCCTTGGAAAATTCCAAAAACTTTATGAAGGAACTCGTCTGCTGTAGTTGATCTAAACCAAACAAAAACATTTTTCTCTTCTCATTGTTGTAAATTTTATGTGGTCTGTGCCGAGTTGTTGGTATAAACCATTCTGTAAAGAATGGGTATGAGTTCCAACACAAAATAAAAACTAAAGACTCCATAACTTTTTTTTAAATACACTTGTTTTCAGTGACAAACAAGTTTGTTTGCATGGCCAAACATTAACATACAAATTGTGCTTTTATAAGAAAAATGTGCACATTTGGACAAAAGTCTCGAACTTTAACCCTTTTGGATTATTTTTGATTTTACCTTCATATTTTACCTTAAAAATAACGCTAAAATGGTTTGTTATGCACAAAAACCCCCTGATTGCTTTCACTAAAACTCACTAAAACTGACTAAAGGCTAAACACACTAAACTACACCCGACTATAGAATCAAAACATGCTAAATATCACAAATCTCTCAAATTTAATTCCTCAGTCCCGCTCTCACCACCAAACTTCATTCAACTTTTGCATCTTTTTATTTTCTTCTTCCTGTAGATCTTTTACTGCTTGACAAATATTTTTGGGCCTTGGTCAGGGGGGTTATATTTTTTGGAAAGATGAGACTCACGACAGAATACAGTTTATTTTTTTATGTTTCCTGCTGTCTGTCGCTGCATCGCACATGAAATAGGATGATCATTTTCAGAAAAAAAGGTGGCATATATGTATCATAACTCTGGTTATGGTTGGCCTATCAACACAATTTAAAAAGTGGTTTAAGGTTTAAGTCTCTACTTTTGATTCAAATTGAAACAGTCTCAAAGAGGGCACACGTCTCCGATAAGAACGATTAAAATCTGAATAATTGCAAGTTCAGCCGACATGAAAACAAGTGCAGTTAAAAAGTAATGCATTTGTCAGTATAGGACTTCAAACCTACAAATACTCACAACAAGAACAAAACAAATCAAATTGTTTTTAGAAGTAAACAAACAAATACATGGATATACTACATCCAATTAATAGGACAAACCTGCAACAGTGTGACATTGCAAATATTGCCTTTAACACATTCACCACAATAAGCCGTGCCCCCCAGCGATAAGACAAATACCTTTGTGACCCTGACATGTACTCCTATTATAGTGATGACCATGGCAACACCATAGGCTTTACACTTACATTCTCTTTCCACAATGCTGATTGGTTCCAGGTCTTGGGGAAATGGTGCAGCTCCTGAGGACAGCTGAGGTATAAAGGCGACTAAGGTGAGAGCCAAGAAGGCTGGCAGGATGGGTCGAGGTGGTCTGAGCATCAGCCTCATGTTGGCAGAAGATGGGGGACCTCACCAGAAACACATGGCCCACAGCGTACTCCCCCTATCCTCCTAATTTAAAAGGGGAAAAAAATCAAGATTAGAATGGTAATTAAATCTGGCACAACTTGTTTTTTTAACACCCATCAAAGAAATAATACATTGAATCAGTCCTGATAAATTCCAACAACATGCATGCAAGTGAATGAAGGAAGGAGCAACGAGGAAAACAAGCTAAACCTTGTTTTAGCTTTGAATCAATACAGAAATGTGACCATTGTGATGAGAGAGCGTGTTAAAAGTGGGTAGACTGAGTCAGAAACCCCCCAGAAACAAGAGAAGGAAGCCAGGAGTGGAGTCAGACCACTGGAGCCCTGACCACCAGGACACCTGCAACATTTACCCCCAACTTACACCACCTTCCTTCCATGACAACATCCTGATCTAAAGAACTTGGGCCAGGATATTTAGTTTATTTCAGCAGATTTTGGGGGAAAAAAGACCCATTAGTAAATGTTGTGAAAAATTGGACCTTTGTGCTAAATGTCTTCTCAAAGTTCAGCCAGGAAAGTCGTCATGGCATAAAAACTTAAAGAAAAAGCATCTGTGGATTTTCCTAACCTCAACAGTCTGCCTCTCTGAGAGGCATATTTTTTAAAAGAACATTAATTCATCATTTACATATGGCTACACAGTAATGCAGCTGGACAGAAGGTTAAGGGAATTCAATTTTGCAGCAGCATGGCAGTAAAGATGCAGATGCAGAGCTCAGCATTGTTGTATGCAGACTGAATGAGCATGAATGAATTCTGTGGATTGTGTGGACCATCCATTGTAAGCTACAGGCCATGTACCACAGGACAGGAAGGTGCAAGTACGTCAAGGACTTTTGTGCCATTCTAAATGGCCACTTCAAGAAAATGAAAGCTTGAAAAGGCAAAAAAAAAAAAAAAAAAAAAAAAAAAAAACGACTTTAAACTGTATTAGTTATGATGACTGTTATTTCTATTTATATAAATAAGGCACATTTCAAATTATTTCATCTGCATCTAAATCTACATTAAGAACACATACTGTACTACGGTTGTTTTTATTTAAAAAATGAAGGACGGTTTTCTTTGTTGGTTCCCAACACAAGATGCTAAATACACAGACATGGCCGTTCACGTCTAGAGTTGGGAAGCAATTATCTTTGAACCGGTAAATAAAATGTTTTACTGTTTTCTTTTAATCTTTTATGATTGCTCTCTGCAATAATACATAAGTAGCTTTAATGGAGGTAGAAGAATAAGTACAGCATGCTGCAGATGTGTCTGCTTGGAAGAATAACAGGGTGACGTAGTAAAAAAATAGTTAGTGGTGAGCAAAGATTTATCGTAGTGGGCACAAATAAAAGAATAAAAATAAAGTGTGGTAAAGCTGGATGTTTTTTATTCAAATGTGCACTAAAATATTAATTTAGCACAGACAGATTTGACGTAAATCGGCTCAGAAGAAAAACAACGTGGAGGATACAACTAAAGAGTAGCAGACGAGAGCTAGCTGAGCTGTTCCCAGGGGAACCCAGAGATTATTATATGTGACAAATAAAAGTAGCCTGGCAACCGGAGGATTGGTCGTCTGCTGAGTTTCATTGTCTGAGACAGTATTTTGTTTAAACAACAGAATGAAACAAAGAAAATTTATATAAATAAAAGTAAACTCTTTATCTGATGCCATAAATTTAAAGACACATAATCGCAAGAGATTGTTTAACAAACAAGCTTTCAGGTTTTTTAAGTAGGAGCTGCATTTGAGTGTGTGTGATAAATAAGTTGTGTGGACACAGCACAAGGATAAAACCATGTGTGCGAACATTCATTTCTACATCTGTTTGGTATTTTTAACAGATACGTTAAGGAGGGACGTGTCGATCCAGCTTCAAACTGTGATGACCCGCATTCAGCCAGTTTATTTGGGCAGTGTTTCCTTACATGCTTTCACAAGCACATGCACTGTCAGTTGGCAATAAAACTCAGGCCCACATGGTTTTAGGTACGAGCAGAAAACTAAGTTTAAAGAGATAAGAAGTGTCATAGAGATGGTTTCATCTAAATGCAGAGGAAGAGCTGCATTTAGCAATGAGACCAAGTGATGATTACAACTCTGCAAAGTGAAAAAGTAAAAACTCGGGTTTTGTTTTCTTTGTGAATGACAACAGTTTGTGTGGCTGCCTTTGGCCTGATTGGCTTCATATGCAATGGTTTGGATGTTCCAGGTAGCAAAAAGAGGCAGCCGCTTGAACAAAACGATTGCTACAAAAGTATTACTGAACATGATCAGTCAAATAAAAACAACCAGGTTGATTTGTGATCATTTGCAGCTAAACTACCAATAAAACTGCTGTTTAAGTTAAGTCAAAATTAAAAGTTCAATGGTACACCACCGATTCCCTTGTGCTATGAATTTGCCGTCACCCAACCATAAGCAGCACATTCAGGGAACAGAAATCATTCAGAGATCATAAACAATCCATTTAGCTGAAGAAAAGCAGCCAGCAGAGTGACGATGCATGCAAAACTAGACAACCATAGTAAATACAAGCACTTACACAATTTACTTATTCCACAAGTCAAAAAACTCAGATCATGCAGCCCGTTAAAAACATCATTTTTTCCCTGAACTGGTGTTATGCACATTTTTCACGAGTTCACTTGAAATTGTGAGGGAATGCAATATAGCCATGTCAAGCGAGGAATTTGTCATGAGGCCACGTCAAGTCAGGGTTTTCATTATTTCTCCAGAAAAACCTGCCAGTCAGCAACACCTCCTCCAGAAAAACAAAGGCAGATAATGTGACTAAGACTTTGGAACAGACTAACAAACAAAATGTTCTTTTGCTGCTTGGTGTTGTAGAACTGGTTGGTCTGAAAAGTTAAGTTTCTAGAACAGAACCAGTAAAAATACAAAAATAAAAAAAAATCTGCTACTTGAGCAAAAAACGTGTCTCTCATCTGTGCCAGCAATTTGATTGAGAATAATTTAGAATTTTATTTTCATGCAATACATTGACTTGTTAGAAAAATGGTTTGGGCATTTTTACAAACAATAAGTCATTTTAACAGACAGTCAGATATAATTAAGATCCTAATAAGAACACAAATTTCATGATGTTGCACTGATTGCCTGGTAGAAGTCCAGATCTACAACAAACACACAAGTGATCAAAAAGAACTGATATTAAAAGTTAAGCCTCCAATAGGGGTTTGTTCCATCTTCTGAATTAATCTGTATTTGGATTTGGGAACATAGTTGCCTTAACGTTTCACCTTTTCCAGCACAAATGGATCCATTAAGACCACATGAACTGCTGCTGAGCTCCCATGTTTATCTGCGGTGTATAAAACATCCCTCACTAGAGTTCTTTCTTAATTCCACCTCAGCTGGTTGGTGATTGTGTGTCTGCAGAGGGAGTGGATGGCTGATGAGCTGACAGCTGTCAAAGGGAAATAAGCTTTCCAATGTTTGCTCTGTGTTTGAGGATTTGGTTGGGATGGCTCAACTTATTTTGTTTTTAATGAACTGGACTTGTTAAGCCATCAAGGAGACGTTGGCAGTAGAGGATAAAAGTTTCTGGGAACTCGGGATCCTTCATTGATTATCTGACATTCACTTGGATTAGCAAACAGCCTCGAGTCTGTGGATTTATATGATGCATCTACTCAGACTTTATTTGGCTAATGCATGAAGATGACAGATATAAAATAGATCTTTGTCTTTATTGGTTGGCATGGATAAGACCATAAAGCCATTTATATTCATACATAATATCCAAGTATTTTTTATGTTTTACTACCCCCACTTGGTCAGACATAACAGCTCAATAAAATGTCTAATTTAAAATCCAAATTTCAGTTTTAACCTCAATCAAGTGCAGTGCATTTCATGCACCTGTTAACTCTTGGGAGATCTATCTTTTGCCAACACCTGCTAAAAAGCAGAGCATAATTCTGAAAGCATAAGAGGCTTCTGGTATTTCCCTCACTTTCTGGTGCTTCAGTGGTGGGGAAGCCTAATCCACTTGAATTTGATAGCCACAGAATAGAATATTCCTCTCACCTCTCCGAACATGGATATCTATAAGCTTCTTGGCTGCTAAAATGCTTGAAGCCACACTGCCCTTCACTCTGACATATTGGTATATACACCAGTCAGCAAAATGACTGAGCACATCCCTCGACTCTCTGATAATTTAAGACATAATTAGGCACATTAGCCCCTGGTCTCTGCAGACCAACACAAAGTAGGCTTTTATGCAGGGTGCTCTAATAACACCATGAATGTAGCCCTCAGAGGAAGAGCCAGTCAAATCCAGAATATTTTAAAGGACAATATTTTACTGAACTGAGTTAAAAGCATATATAATGCAATCTATAATACTGAACAAGTTTTACACCCTTTAATTTCACTATACGCTGCTTTGAGAAAGTCGGGCTTTCCTGTAGACTTTAGAGAACTTTTAGTCTCCAAACTTTACTCTTTGTCCAGTTTTTCTACCTGACCTTGGAAGCATTTTATATTGCAAGTGCACAAGAAAGTGGACAAGCAGAAAAAATGTGTCAAACTTAAAAGAACTCATAACTACAGCAGATATTGGGAATCTGAAAGTCCTGTTTTTAGGAAATATTAAAAAAAAAACAGCAAAGACCTGACAGAGAATCTGAAAGATGCAGCCATTTTCAGTTAATCGAATGCATTCCAGGTTTTCAGCTAACAATGCTCTATAGATCACTTTGCCAATGCTAATGTTGTTTTGCATTGTTCAAACTGTGTTACATCTCCATCTTTAGTTGCTTCAAAACAACATTTATAAAGAGTATTTTTTAACAAGTCACACACACAGTATTAACACAGTATTCATTTGTTATTTGAGTTAAAGAGCATGTTTCAAGTCTGAATGATTCCTGGGTCAGAGTTAAGTGGCTTAAAAATGTTCAGAAAATGGCTGGGTACAAAATGTGTGAAAAAGAAGCCAACGTCCAGATAACTGATAACATGAGTCTGCTCTTTAGTTGCAAATCAACAGAATGAGG